TATATATATATTTATATCTTGTCATCAATTTAAGAGTAATATAATTACATGTATGACTTGAGTGAAGTATGAAGTTTTAGGAAATAAAACTTTGCAAAAAGTTTAAAGGTACGCGTCTGTTTTTCAGTTTATGGAAGATGCAAATGCTGCAGAAGAATGGATGACAAAGCAGTCTGAAATGATGGAAAGAAAATACAATTTGAATGAATTTTCATTAGAAGAAGGTGAACAGATGTTGCGTGAATTGGATGAAATTAGTGAATTGATTAAGAAATATCACAGTATTCTAATGGCACTCACTGAGCGAAGCTCTCAGATTTCACCTCTATGGCAGCGTGGTGAACGAACTCAGCATCCTATTCCAGTCACTGCTTTAGCTGACTTTACTGATAGAGATATTTCTATAAGAGAAGGTGAATCAATATTTGCATCCCTAACTTTTATGTAGACGTTTTCTACTACTATAAACAAATAACAAGATGCATGAATATTCTGCATCCCACGCTTTATAAATTTTTGGATAAAAGCATAGGAAAAGTAATTTTTTGACTTCATTAATTTTCAAAAATTAATCAAGTATTGTAAATTGTATTGAAAAACGTTGTAAAAAAAGAGTTTTGTTTTTTTCAGAATAAAAAATAATATGTTATTGCCCTTACAGGTGATGAGTGCGTCCTAATTGATAACTCTGACTTGATAAACTGGACTGTTCGAGGATCGGGTGGTGTTGAAACCTTTGTGCCGTCTGTAGTATTTCGTATTTCACCTCCTGATGCCCATCTTACATCATACTTAAATAGACTACATTCAAGTTTTGAGAAGTTACGTCGAATTTGGGGCCAAAAACACAGAATGGTACGATATAATATGGTCTTAAATACAATGGCTCAAATACGGTTAGCATTTATTTGTTGTTCTTCATTTCGATTTGGAATCCTGTTTATTGTACATTAAGAGTTTGCTATATAGAACATCAAAGTATTTACGTTAAATTGTAGTGATTATTTAATGTGTATGGTTATAATGAAATTTGATTTTCATTAAAACTATGACAACTAAAGTTACTCTAAGTTCGTGCATACCAATTAATATTCGTGTGTTTTCAGTAGTTGGGATTTGAATACGTTTATGGCGATGACTCCAGAAGAAAAAGATGCCATTATCAAAGCTTTGAATGATGATACTCACAAATTACTTTCTGAACTGGAACCAAATGATCCACTGTCGTTGAGGCTGAAAGAGGAACTTAGATTAACCAATGAACATTTCTATAATCTGTTAAATGAAATGAGTCGTCCTAAAGGTAATGACAGCCACTAATCGTACATTACTAATAATTAGATTATGAATGCAATCATTGTGTTTTAGAACCCGAAATCGGAGCTCAATTCGATGCAAAAATGACAGAATTGTTGGATAAACTTGATGACGCATACCGAAAATTGAATGACCGAGTTATGCAAGTAACTTTTGTAGTCTATTATTTGGGAACTTTGTTTTAATGATTACATAAGATAGCAAGTAACATTTTTAGAAGTTTATACTCAAGCACTTCTCTTCAGGGTACACCAAGATCACAAACCGAACTCGAACGATTAACTATAGACCACAAGAATTTTGAAGATAACTTGCAAACGTTAGATATTGATGTATCTACTGTGAATGAATTGTTTCGGCAAATACCAGAACCAACACCGTCGCAAAGAGCTAATTTTGATCATCTTACTGGTCGTTGGGAAGATTTATGGGAACTATCGAGAATGTATGTTGAACGACTAAAGTCACTGGAAGCTGTATTGAATGGACTTGCTGAGGTAATTGCAATGTATAATCTAATTGAAAAAAATAAGATAATATAGAAAAACATTTCGTGACTGTTAAAAATAAATTAGCGTCTTTGTAACATTTGATTGTAACTTACTCAAAAAGGCTAATCAAGGCAAGCATCTATTCTTCCTCTTCAAAGCTATAAATGTTTTCTCGATTTTGCTGAATTTTCACCAGATCACATCATAAATCATTCGTTGCACTCACTGGTTACTATTAATCAAACGCTGTTAAATTTCAACAAAAAAAAATTAGCTAATAATATTTATTCAAGGTCACTGATATAGTTCGACAGCACGAAATCACATTGAATTCATTTGATGATATGCCAGCTTCTCTGGATAAACTTCGAGGTGTTCATTCGCAGTTACTTGAGCTAAATATGGTGCTACAACAGCAGCAAGCTATTGTTGATGCTCTAAATCGCAACATTGCTCTTCTGCGACAACACGTTTCTCGAACTCGTCAATCACCGAAGTGTGTTTTTTCAGGGTTTAACAATTGCATTCATTGAGATTTTTCGAAACCGAAGTTAAACATATCTTTAGTTCAATTCAAGATTAGCTAGTATTTTATCGCTCTAAAGATGCTTGGCCTCACTTCACTATACTAATAAAAATTATACTCTTTACTCTTCATTATCGTTGGCTAGTTATTTAATCTGAGAATAAGCATACCTGTGTTTCCTTCTATCATTTGACTATAAAATCCAAAATACATGCAGTGTAGTAATTTCTTTAAAGTCATCCTGATGTTGACCGATTAGAAGACGAAGTGCAAACATTAACCGTACGATGGGAAAATGTTTGTTCTCAAGTAGCGGATCGTTTAAAAACTACAGAACGAGCTTTACAAACTCAAATGATATATCGCACAGAGTATGAAAATGAGATCAAGTGGTTGGACAATGTTGAGTCTACTATTAATAGGTATATACTAATCTTATAACTTATTACTATATGCAACTTTCATAGCATAAAATTTTGCTTCAAATCAGATAACATTATTGGCTTATAATGCAAAACATTGGCATTTCAAAATAAAAGAGAAGAGAATAATTTTTTGTTACTTGGTTAATAGTATTTTTTATTTCTTGTGATTAAATAGACAGTTTATGAAAGAAAAGAATTGATGTATTTTCAAATTTATTGTTGTTTTATTTTGTTGCTTATTAATAACACTAGAAAATATTTAGTTTGCGAAAACCGGAAGAGCTTAGACCAGAACAATATCAGCAGCAACTAGATCAGCTCATTGCGGAATATTCTCAGTTACAAGAACGTACCGAAGCAATAGAAAATGTGAATCGAGAGGGTGGGAAATTCATTCGCGAAGCCAAAGTATTTTTTATCGGAAATCGTTCCGTTTAGTAGATTTAATTCTAGTATAAATTATCTTTATTCTAAATTAGCAATAAATACCAGCATAGACTTGTTGAAAAAGCACTCATTTACATCAGCAATATTAGTGTGCTAGCTGATCAGAAAAATTAAGTAAAAGGCCATTTATATGAGTTTGAAATGTTCTGAATTTTTCAAAACTTGAATGTTTGGAAATTTTTTCCGATAATTTTAATTCACAAGGTTTCAGTTTGAAAAGAAAAGGTTCGTAAAAAAATCAGGACATTATTTTTGCAGGGTTATGATGGTCGTTTGGTACATTACATGGAAAACGTCATTAGCATCCATGGGACCGATATTCGAGAAAGATTTCGTCGTTTAAAACCGCAACCCAAAAATGGTGCAGAACAAGTGACCGAAGAATTAGAAAATTTAAATCGGCGATTTGCTCAATTAAGTTCCCTTATACTCGAACGACGTAATGTAATGCAAGTACTGATTCAAAAATGGAAACGGAAAAAACAGGTTAGCACCTGTGTTGTGGTACATGCAAAATACGCTGCACTTAAGAGATTTGGAAATGTTAGATGTAGATTTTTGTTAGGATCCGCGCATACTACGTAATTTTTAATATTAAAAATGCTTTAAAAAATGATCCTCTTAGTTTATTATGAGCAGAAAAAAAGACACCTATTGGTTTACTATTAAAATTTCATACTTCAAGAAATTAGAATAGTAGGAATATATTTTTAAATTTGTTATGCTTACATTGCACAGGCACAGGTTGCATTAAATGACAGTATTTTTGGTCGGTCGAGTATTGTTTGTTTTGTAACTGCAGTTAGATGGGCTTTGGAGTGGCAGTCCAGAAGCTTTAATGTCAATTTTTGAAACTGGAAAATACGAAACCAACCGATTTCAGCAGATTTGTAACCAGTCGCTCGTCAATATTTGCTTACATATTTTAGCATTAATTTTCATCTTTTTAACAAAAATGTAGTTTGTGATGGCTTTAAACACTTTTTTTTCAACTGCATTTCTTGGCTTTGTTTAGATTTGTTCACTGCTAAAATTTTAGCCAGCTTTTCTTGCTAACAGCTGGGATCATTAATTTGACACAAAAAACAAGTGTGATATGTTCCATTTTCTGACTTATTTATAATGCATTGTTTAAGAGAATTAGATTGATAGTGATCAATTTAGTAGATGATTAGAAAGTTTTGTAGCAACAAATTATCCCCTTAGTTTCATATTAAATCAGTATGAACTCAATTATTTAAATATCATTTCCAGATTGAGGTAAAGATGTAATTTTATTTTTGCCTGCAGATTTATTTCGAGATAAAAAGCGAAGGTGGCCATCAAACCATGTACAGCAGAGTTACATGGAAATAATTAAGAAGAGCATCATTAGTACCGAAATACGTAATACTAACTAGGCTAACATATTAATGGGTCCAAGTTAGCTAACTACAACTAAAATAAATGTGCATGCAACCTTTTAGGTGCACAAGATTAGCGCAGATAGAAGACTGCAGGGAGCATTGTGTCGCTGAACCAAAGCAAACATTTGCTTGAATTAATTAAGTTGGCATATTTGATTTTGCAGGATATTTTTAGCTGATAAAAATGAAACTATGAGAGTTTTGCAGATCCTTATCGGATGTTTCAGACTGCACTTCACATACATTCACGTGGCGCAATTTCAGTAGTCATCGTGCGTTTCAAGTGTGATTTCGTTTCTGTCTTCATTTCTTGCTTTTTCTGCTTCTTTTTTTTGACATCTGTGGGACTGTTCCTAGATCGGTTGGTTTTTTAGGAACAACTGTAATTCTTCTTTTCTTCCTTTTTCATCCTGCTGCAGGCTACCACAACACAACACATTACTCGACTGAGCAACTGTATCGTATGTGTGCATATATATTTGCGCAACATACTTTACGTTCATTTCCATATTAGTCTTCTCTCGCTCTTCCTGTGGCTATGCCCATCACATCTCTTCCATTTGTTCTAGGAAGATGAAGATAGACGCAGGGCTGAGGAGGATGAGAAACGTCGGCAGTTTGAAGCAGCTCGACTGAAAGCACTTGAAGATGCTGATCGTCTTCGTAAAGAACGTAAAGCAGCAGAGGATGCGCGTCGTGCAGCTGAAGAAGCTGACCGTTTGCGCCGCGAACTTGAGGCAGCAGAAAATGCACGTCGAAGGTTGGAAGAAGAAAGACGAAGAGCGGAAGAAGAAGCAAGGCGCAGAGCTGATGAGGATGCTAGAAGGCGTGCCGAAAAACGAAGACTTGCTGAGGAAGAAGCAAGACGCAAAGCAGCAGAAGAAGAGGCTAGACTTCAGGCTGAAGATGATGCTAGAAGGCGACACTTAGAAGATGCAAGGAAGGATCGCGAACGTCGTAAACGGGAAGAGGAACGTCGAGAACGTGAAGAAGAAGAACGCCGCAAACGTGAAGATGAAGAACGCCGCAAACGTGAAGATGAAGAGCGCCGCAAACGTGAAGATGAAGAGCGCCGCAAACGCGAAGATGAAGAGCGTCGCAGACGTGATGATGAAGATCGTAAAAGAAAAAAACAGGCAGAGGATGATGCGGAGCGAGAAAGAAAGCGAAAAGAGGATGAGGATCGTAGACGTCGTGAAAAAGAAGAACGAGAGTATCGACGTCTAGAAGATGAACGTCGTCGACAAAAAGAAGCAGAAAGAGAACGTGAAAGAAAACGATTAGATGATGAACGGCGTCTTGCAGAAGATAATAAGCGTCGGCGTGATGAAGATGAACAACGACGTCGTAATGAAGAGCAAAGACGACGAAAAGTAGGCTGTGATTTGTTTAATTTGGAAATGACTTGGTACTTACCACCTATCTATCCATTTACATCTAGCTGCGTGCATATATATAGGTCCCATGACCCTCAAGCTTTTCACTTTTTTGCACCACGGAATGATAATTTTTAGTTGGCTTTGAATAAGTAAAGAAGAGTAAGAGATCGTTGCATAGCTTTTTGCATAGCAGATGACAATGTGAGGTTATAGAAGTAAGACTGGTGATTTGTTTCAGATGCTTAATATAAGTCATGGCATGCAACAGGCTATTGTGTCCGAGGGAGGTGAGTTAGAGGAGTTTGAAGAGATTCGAGACGTTCCGGAGAGAGCAACAATTGCAGAGCATGAGGATGAGATGCAAATGTATCAGGAAGAAACCATCACAAAAACGCAATTCTATGAGATGGAAGGCATCTTACATAAGCAAACGGGCGAGATTTTGACTTTTGTAGAGGCCATTCGTCAGGGACTGCTAGACTTACATTCCGGAGAAGGAGAATTTTATGATATTGTTTCGGGAGCTAGAATTAGTCTGGAGAAAGCTGCAGAATTAGGTTATATTGACGGTGGGTTTCAAGAGGTGCTTAATACTCATTATGGAGTGCGACATCCTGAAACTGGCCAAAGTTTATCCCTTCTGGAGGCTATTCAAATTGGTCTGTATGATCCTGACGTACGTCAGCTTCGTGATATTGAGACAGGGGAAATTTTGCCCATGTATGACTGTATTTCACGCGGAATTATAACATTGGATACGCAACACCGATTGTTAAAAATGGGTGTGCTGAAGCTTCCTCCCATGTCACTAGATAATGCCATTGAGCAAGGAGTTGTGAATAGTGAAACAGGTTTATTTACGGGAAAGTATACTAGAGAAACGATGCCACTTAAAGATGCTCTCTACAATGGATATGTTCAAATTGGTGGATGTCGTCCAAATACCATGATCGCAATCACTTTGTCAGATTGCTTACAGGCAGGCTTCATCGATGGTTACACTGGTGAATTTGTAGACAAATATAGTAATGAAAAGATTACGTTAAGAGAGGCCGTGTCGAAACAGCATGGTCTTCTAAATTTGCATGTACCTGAAATTGTGAGAACAGATGAAAATCGTCGTGTTACATTGGGTGAAGCGATCATACGAAATGCTGTAAATACACGTCTAGCAAATTTCAATGACTTGCAGAAAGGTCAAGCACTTAGTCTACAAGAGGCTTTTTCTAAAGATTTGATTCAGAAACCATTAACTCTTACGGAAATAAGTCAAAAGGATTTGATTGATTCAACAAATAAATTCATTGACGGAGGCACTAAACATCGCTTTACTTTATTAGAAGCAATATCCGCTGGTTTGTTAGATTCGGACGTGCGACATATTGTGGATCCTGATGAGGAAGATGTAATTTCTATTGCAGAAGCTCTTGAGCGAGGACTGCTAGAGCCTGATGGAAGAATAGTGCTTCAGAAAAATCAAAAAGTTTTTTCCATTGCCGAAGCAGTTCACGAAGGGCTATTGATTAAACGTGTACGTCACTCCATATTCAATGTGAAAGGTATTAAAGACACAAAAACAAATAAATATCTAACCTTTAATGAAGCAGTGGATTGCGGTGTGATTATCTTGCAGGCAGAAAGAATAGTTGATGTTGCTATAAATGAAAGTTTTCTTATAGCAGATTGTGCCGAAAGTGATTTACTAGATCCAATGCTATTTGAATTTCTTACCACTTCGCTGGGTATCAAGAATGATTTGGGACATGATATAACGGTGATTCGTGCCGTTGCAAAAGGATTTATTGATGCTCGCAAAGGTGTTTTTGTTGATCAGCAAACTAGTCAAGAGCTTACCCCCAAGGAAGCTTATGATCATGGTCTTCTAACATTGAAAGGAGCTTTGCAGTTGTCATCTATGCTTGACATTCACTCTTCTTTGGTGACACCAGTCAAAAAAATTGATCAAAAAAAAAGGATTCGACGGCCAGGACAGCGACAAGATATAGCGACGGATCAAATAAAAGTTACTCTTGCTGAGGCAATGAAGCAAGGCTTAATTGATTCACGCACTCATCGGTTTCGACAGGGTGACACCGAAATGAGTTTCGAGGAGGCGCTAAGCAAGGGTTTGATTAACCCATCCGATGAATGGATAGTACCCTCTAAAAGCAATGGTGCTACTGGTCCAACTATTGAAGAAAAAGTTAGTGAATCCGTATCTGAGACAGCGCAGCAGTTGGCTCCAAAGTTTTATCCGGACAAAAACATTGAGGAAACTGTAACGACTATAAAAAGAGTGAGGAAAACAGAAACAACTGCATTAGGAGGCCCAGGTGGTGTGTCCGTGTATCGTGCCATCACGGGTAGTAAAGATTCCGTTGAAGTACCAGCTAATGGCTATCACATTCTTGAGGCAGAACGCAAAGGTTATGTGAACCTTGCTACAGGTGTAGTTTCTCTGCCGAATTTGAATCGAACCCTGAGTTTAGAACAAGCATTTCAATTAGGCATCCTTGATAGCTCAGGTATTACTGTACGAGTTCCAACCACTATTACTCGCATTCCCATCATGGAGGCTCTGAATCAAAAAATAATCGATAAACATGGTTTTATGATGCGAAGTAATCGTATGATTAATTTCCAGACATTGATTGATGAAGGATTAGTCTTTGTAGACGCGGAAGCACCTCAAAGTTTAAATACTTCAAAGAAAAAGAAAGTTGTACAGTTTTCACCAAATTCAGATGCAATTATGAGCTTCCGTCCAGTTGGTACTGCAGCTGTAGAAGAAAGCGAACAATCTTGGTCATTTGATGCTAGCAAAGGTGAATTAGTTGATCATATCAGTGGAGAACGGCTTACTCTTGATGCTGCTCTCGCTTCTGGCAAAATTGATCGTGAGGATCTACGTGTTTTTGACACCTTAACTGCTCGAGACATGACATTTGAAGAAGCTGAAAAGTGGGGTGTAATCGATGAAAAAGATGGATATTATTTGGATAAAAGAGAAAATAAGCGATATTCACTATCAGACGCTGCTAGACAGCATCGTGTTTTTCCAACAGGAGGTATACCTGAAAATGCTTCTGATGCAGTTCATACAACTTATAAAATATTGAAACGAAATGAAGTATCAAAGAAAGAAGCATTACTAAGTGGGCCGTCATTAGGATATACCGATCAGACGTTAATTACTTCCTTGGATTTGGGTCTTTATGATGACAAGACTGGTTTGTTTACGCATCCACAATTTCAGAAGCAGATGACATTGAAAGAAGCGATTATCAGAGGATTATTTAATCCGTATAGTACGTCAGTACTAGATAAACGTAGGAAGCGTGAATTATCACTTTTAGAGGCAATAGATGATAATATAATCAACGACACGGAAGGAACAGTTTTAAATACTGAAACAGGACAGTTTATAGATCTGAAGAGAGCTCATTCGCAAGGTCTTCTCCGAAATAGAAACCTCCCTCAAAGTCTGGAAGGGGCATTAATGTCTGGAAAGCTTGATCTATCTACTGGTCGATTGAAAACAGCAAACGGTGGAAGTATAAAAGTTGAAGACGCCATTGCAACCGAAGTTATTGACAGTAAGAGTGTAGTTGTTCGCGATCCATCAACAGGAGACGAAATGCCTTACAGTGTTGCAGTTGAGAAAAAAGTTATTGATCCAATTAAAGGTCTTGTTTATTCGAGTTCATCAGGATCCATGACATTCCCGCAGGCACTTACTACAGGGGTATTAGCTGGTGTTGGCTCTAAAAGGCATGTATCTCCAAAGCCCACACAGTCACGTATAGTAGAGCGAAAATTGGAACTCACTCCTTATGCACCAAAACTTCCTGAAGTTACAGTTGTAGAACAGCAACGAGCACTTGGTCCTGGACGTCAGGAAATGGTAGATTTGGGTGGTGGGAAACAGGTGATGGTGAAAGTTGTACGTGGTGAAGGTGGTGTCGAGAGAGGTGAATATGTTGATCCATCTTCCGGTATGAAATTTACAATTCAGCTTCATGGGGACCCTTACATGACTGAAGCCAAAACTGTTGTAAAAAGTACCGCTCAGGTGCAGTCTATTCGATTAGAGCCACACGCTGAATTTGTTGGCATTGATAAGATAAGAGATAAAAGAAACGGTCGCATAATGTCATTGCAAGATGCCCAACGTATTGGAATAGCTCGTATTGACAAGAAAGGAAAACAAATGACGAAGACGTATTCTGTCTTTAGATCAAATATTCAAAATGCTGTCACTCGAGGTGTTATTGATATTCGTGGTGATAAAATTAGTTTAGAAGATGCTGTTCGAGCGAAGTTGGTAGATTTACAAAACTTGACTTATCTAAATCCACGGACAGGAGATGCTTTGACACTAGCACAAGCAGCAAATATGGGATTTGTAGACGTCACCTTGTCAGAAACCTTACCAAAAGGCGTTTGTCATCCAGCAAATGGAGAAAGAATCACAGTACAGAGAGCTATAGACCTTGGTATCATAAATGCAAAAACTGGTGAGGTGAAGAATCCATTCACAAACGAAAAATTAACATGGTTAGATATTGTAAGGCCTGTATATACAAGCTTAACTATGGAAGGAGTTTATGATCCCACAAAAGGTTATGGAGTACCGGTCTTGACCGCGTTAATAGAGGGCCTTATTGATGCGACATTAGCTCAGTACTCAAACATTATTACTGGCGAGAAAATTACACTGGAAGAAGCATCTAGTAAAGGTTTAATTGATGCTGAAACGTACAAAGCTATTACAGAACCATTTCTTCTGGATTATCATTCAAAGAAAAAACTTAATTTGATCCAAGCCGTGCAGGCCAAATTGATTGATCCTAGAAATAAGACCATTCAATTAGATGAACAAATGGTTTTGCCTATTTCACGTGCCATCACTGAAGGTAAAATCCCCTCATTTATTGGTGAGAAATTGAAACGCGTGGATAAAATGACATTTGCGGAAGCATTAAGCAAAGGTTTTATTGATGTTGCGTTAAACCGATTCACTGATTCAGATACTGGAAGACAGATATCTATAAATCAAGCTATTGAAGAAGGATATATTGATACTGGTAATATTGAAGTTGCAGAAGGCTCAGATGAGAAAAATCTAGCAAATATTTTGTTTACTGATGAATTTGACGAGAATTCAGGACGAGTTAAGGATAAAAAGTCAGGCTTATACTTAACTTTCAAATCCGCTGTTGACCGAGATGTCATAGATGGGGATTCCTTGCTACATGATTTAGAATCCAGTCATACATTGACGGTTAAAGAAGCACTAAATCAAGGATACATAGATTCAGATGGAAAATATATAGACAAACGTTCAGGAGTCAAAATCACTCTAAAAGAAGCCGTTGCTAAAGGTTTGATTGCATTAATTGCATCTCCTATGCAAGCTGCACAAGCAGTTACAGAAGCCGTTAAGCGTAGAGATGTCGAAAGTTACAAGTTCAAAATAGAATCACTAGATGATTACATGGTTACAAGTGGAGCTCCACGTTATCGTGAGGAAGCAACTATCGTGAAACTTGCATCGCCACATCGTTCTGAGCCTGGTCTTTCTCTGCGCGTTAGATCAACCTCTGAGGCATCAAAAAGAAGAAGTGTAATCGATGATCCTCAAGCGATGGCTGATTTGCAACATGAGTTCTTGGACAGCCTGCGAGAACGTGGTCTTGATGTTGAAGAGAAGGTTATCGAACTTCCAGAAGGTACGTCACGAGTTTCAGTACGTGAGGCAGCAGAAAGTGGCTTGTTGGATATCATCACGGGTGATATCATTCATCCAGCAAGTGGCAGACGTTATTCGATTCCAAGAGCGGTGCATATGAAAATTATGAGCCCTGAAGCTGCAAAGCGTATGATGGAAACTTTGAACATATCTGTTGAAGAGATTGGACAGACACCATTAGTTGAATCTGCTGGTACTAGCCCTTCCGAATCTAGCCTTAAACTTTACACCAAAACTGTCAGCTGGCGTGGTCAGCCGTCTGAATTGCGACATACCGCTGATCCTCTTGGTTCCTTCACTACTTATGCATCATCTACGACGATGAGGACATCTGATATGTTCCGTTAGCAATCAGTAGTAACTTGATTTTACCTTCTTCCATTTAACATTCTATATCTTCAGTTTGTCCCATATACCGTTAGTAAAAATAATGCAAACCATTACTTCTGGAACTTTTCAACGAATCTGTAAATTGAGTTAAAAAAAATGAGTGGAAAATGAGTTAGTGTATAATTTTCAAACTGGCACATGCCATGCTGTTAGTTTATTTTTCGCCTCTGCCTTCACCCAATTCATTCAAACTTTTCAACATATTAATATTTTCTTTTGAAGTAATTGTTGCTTATAAAGATTGCATTTATAGATTTTAAAACAACATATTCAATTTATTGACATATTTTTTTAGAGCACGAAATTTAGCATTTCGTGTGTTAAATAGTTCAATGGATAACTTTTTCAACTAACACTTCAGTCTTGAAACATAGTAAACACATGATCTTCATGTTGAATTAGAACTTTCAAAATGTTACTTACTATTTTTAACTTATCATGGAAGTGAGAGATATGGATAAATAAGTATGGTAGTTATTTTTATGACTGAAAGCTTCATACGATTGTTAGTGTCTTTTTTATGTTGTTATGTGACAAGATATTTCTAATAGTTTAGATTCGTTGAAGCATTCTTCGGACTATAAATGTATTTTTATTTTTTACTTTTTGCAAATTTCACTTATTTCTCACTTCATGCATTGCCTTATTCATCCACCAAACTTTTTCTGCTGGAACAAATTTTCATTTTTATATTCCACAAGAATAGTTAATTGGTATATTTGCACTTATGTTAAATGAAAAAATACTTCAAAATTTTCACTTAATTCTGTTGACTTTTAACTTTTATTCCGAGTGATTGGATCGAATTATAATCAATGCTATGATTCCTTGCTATTTACATTGTTTGTTTCCTACTTATCTCTTACCAATTATTTGCTAAATGAATACTAAAAATTTTCTGCTGTATAGCTTTGAATTCATCAAGTATCTCTTATCTGAATTTCCAGCATTGTCGTAATTCTAATCTTTGTAAATCATTTCCTATTTTTCTGTATGTGTAAAATTATTGTGTAACAAATGTTTCAATGTAACAACAGTTGGATGAAGTGCGGTTTGAAACCCGATGAATTGCAAAAATAGTGATGAATTATTGCACTTTCAAGTTTGATAAATGAAAGAAAGTAACGCTTAATTCATTTCCCGCAGTACTTGTGCAAATTACTGTATTCCGTAGTCAGAGGTCATAATCATTTAGTGAAGTAAATCATACAATTACATTTGAGACTGATTGATTTTGATCACTACAAATAACGGAATGTACGTTCACATAAATTAATCTACATCGAAAAACTAGCACAATAGTGTTGTTAAGGCCTTTTAAACTGTTCAAACATAAATGTAGACAAATTAAAATACATCAAAAAATATCACTAGAAATTTAATACTCGTTGGACTGCACCTACTTTAGGATTAGAATGGGATTGAGTAGTTATCGATGTTAAGTTATAACTAAATGAACAGATGAGTTTTGACTTTCGCGAAATTATTAGCCATTTGCATAAACTAATTAATGTGACTGAATTATTCCTCTTCTTATGCAAGTAGACGGAAAATATACTTTCAAAAAATAAAGTCTTTCAAACTTTTGATAAGAGTATTTCTATCGGAAACAAGTGATTCTGAACCATCATTCACGTATTGGTAGTTTAATAGTTCGGAGTTAACTACATTTCTCTATATCACTGTTTGCTTTCCATGCATTTGACTACTGAAAATATTGAGAAATAGTGGCAGTTGATAGAAGTTTGGGAGTTGGTCAGAACTATTTATCGATGTTCGGAGATGAATTAATTTGAGTCATTTTGCTTGGTAAGGAAATTATTGTGTCTAGTTGAAAGGACTGAGAGGTAGCTAGTTATCAGCCTAAATCATTTTTGAAATAATGATTTTTTTAAACAGCAAAGAATGGTAAAGGATTGAATTATTAAGAGGAATGTGGCTTTCAGATAACTAAAAGATTGTATGACACGCAAAAGTCAACTATAAGAATATGTAATTCGTACTGATCTCTTAAAAGAATGATATGCATTTGCACTAAATTAGTAAATGTGTTAACTATTTTTTTACCATATAAAGTATTTTTCATTATTTAATTTCTTCAACATGTAATAATTAACCTAAATATTTACATGGTAAGGAAGTGATTTGCAAGGAAATATTCTCACGACATGAACATCGAAATTTCGATTGACTTATGTTGTTTACAGTTACTGAGTGTGTTCAGTGTTAAAAGTGATCTATGATCATTATTATTATTACGATAATGATAATAGTATAAATTGTTTCATTACTGAGTTTTATTTTAAGAAAAATTTAGGATTACTAATTTTGCCTAGACAATTCATGAAAAGTAGCAATGGAGACGGAGTAAATTTGAGTAAATTGTTATACTGTAATCAGTAAGCATATTAAATGCTTCATACGACTGATAATCATTGTGATGATGATTCTAGGAGGATTTGCGAAATGACTGCATTGAAAGGCAAATAAAAATTTCGGAGATACTGGATAATTTTGATTCCATAAATGCAACAATATCGGAAAACTTTTGGCTGGTTTCTTCGTTTGATGCTGCGAACTCATCATGCAATCGAATACAAGTAATCCCACTTTCATTTATAATATTGACTCTACCCACTTGATAATGAGAAGTTTTTATTTCTGGAAATTTCGAACATGAATTCATCATACATTTCATTGTGAATATTAGAGAGATTAATTTAGATCGAATTTTCAAGTCTAAGTCCAGTATTATTTTTTTTGTATTCACAAAGGATTATAAATAATTCACTAATGTATTTTTTTTTCGCGTATTTTAATGAGTTATTTAAGGAAATACGAGCTGAATTGCTGTCCTATGCATTCAAAGTACAGGAAAGTATTGAAGAAGCAGATCGTTTATGTGCTGAAGGTGCTGAAGTACTTACACCAGAGCAGTTCCATACGCTAAAGGAACATCGCAATAAGCTTGAAGCAAATTATAATCAACTTTTGCAGCATACTGAAACCATTTTATTGAGGTAAATAATTTTGGTAGTTGAACTTTACTTTCTGGACCTTTTAAGAGAGATATTCATAGAAAGATAGTATTTGTAGTCAGTAGATCAGTTGAAATTGAATTTTGGATCTATCAAATGTGAAGCAAAATCAAAAATTTTAATTTGAATGCGTTTTGACAGCTTGTATAACATGAGTGGCCAATTGTAATATCTTGCAATGATTATTTTCATTGTTTAAAACTTTATTTTAAAGAGTCATGCATTTCTATATGGTAGTGATAGTCAATTTCAAGTCATAAATAACCATTTGCAATCGAACATTTTATAATTTTCAAACAAATAATTCTTTATCAGTATTTTTGTTCCCATTTTGAAGATTAAATGAATTGACAAGATTATTACTGGAATTTACCAACGAAACAAGCTTACTGCATTCACTTTTCAATGAGAAAACTCGAGAAGTGGGCATTATTAGAGCGGAAAGTGGTGATCCACGATCCCTTCAGTTGTCACGTCAAAAAGCGAAGGTTGTTTTTTCCGGTCACTTCACTGCATTAGTTTTTTCATTGAAATTCATATTTCCTGAAATGAAAGTGTTTACTCAGCTCTGGCTTTTGAATAATTGTGAATAATTTTAATCAAAAGATTAAGGTATGTCCAGCTGATTATATTAAACTGTAATATTTCTAATGATATATTTCAGCTCGTGTTCGATGAATTAGTTTCTGCTAAAGGACGTGTAAAGAACATTTCAGTGATCACTTCTCGGATTCAATCTGAAATTGACAACTATGTGGTTGAAATGCGCTTGCAGTATCCTAATGCACAGCTTCCTTCCATAGATGCACATGAACTGACTAGTACTACTTTTAGTTTACAGGTTTATTATAATTTTGAAAACTTTCACCAACTTTTAAATCTACGGTAAAGTGATTAAAATCAAATTTCGTCGAACGTTCTACGGATTCTTCAATTTTACAGACAGACTATGATGTTTTACTTCGAAATTGCCATGAACTGAGTTCGTATTTGAATCAGTTAAAGTCTGTGTCATTGTCATATATAAAACTAATGGAAGGCTTAACTGAATCTGTCACAAGTTTGGAACAGCAGATCACGGAAGTAGAAGGAATTTCACGCAGTATGGATACGATGGCTGGCAGTGATTTAATGTCGCAGCTGTTAGTCATGCTTTCATATCCTGCAAGAATTTCTCTCAATGAACTTTTTTTTTTAAACATTCAATATTTATCTGTTTGCATGAAATCATAATGAATGACGGAAGAATACTTACTTATGGATGAAGCAGTTTTTCTTATAGAATCACTTAAAAAGTTTTGAAAGTTAACTAATCTAAGTCTTTGAATAGAATTAAATCAGCTCAAGACATATTTTTATGCATCTCTGTTGATTGTTTAGATGGTTTAGTGGCTAGATAATCTTGGTACTAGTCGAGGTTGGTTTAAAGTTCATATCCTTATTAAGAATATGCTTGTGGAATACTTCATTGTGTGTTCTGAATTTGGAATATGCGTACTTGGATATGATGAAACATCGTATAGTGGGAATCTCTATGAAGTACTATGATTAAATACGTATTGCTTACTGATCCAGGCGATGACTAGTACATGTCCTAGTTTTGTGAGAAAATAAATTTAATTTCTTGGGTCTTGAATCCTTAGTGAGCGTGATTATATCGTCTGATTTTGGTGATGAAATTAACGCTTTTTTTGTCCTAATTTAAACATCTGATTTTTATTAATCATGCTTTATGACGTTCAGTTTCAAGTATCGAATTTTGTAGGCTGTCGGAACTTGAAATGTTACAACAGCTTTCTTTCGAGCAAACTGGCAAAATTGAAACAGTGATGCGCTCGGCTTCAGAATTTAGTAGTGCCGTTGTAGGCACTGATGCTCATCAACGAGTTACGCATGAAAATCAGCGTCAGATCGATGAACTGACTCGGAGGTCTAAACAATTTTTTTAATTTTAAATATAAAAACATTATATCAGCAATGATTATATAATCATTATTATTATTGTAATTCATGGTTCTTGCAAAGGATTATATCAAGTTTTTCTTAGTATTTTCATACAGGTTATTCTGAGACTATTCCACAACATCATTTTTCTGAAAATGTTTTTAGACAAGTCCGTGCTCAGAAAAGAATCGAAGAGAACATCGATTCATGGCGTAGCAAACTGATGAAAACGGAAGGGATTCGCTCGGGTATGGCAAATATAATGAACTGGTTGGATGAGGAAAATAAACGGCAGTCAATACCTTGTGCCTTACCTCTTCATGTAGAGAAATTGATTGAAATGGTAAGTAAATCTTGAATTTTTGTGGATTTTGCGCGATGCTGATTTAAAATTTAATCTGTACGACTTAGAAGCTAACCATATGTTTTCAACTGTGAATCGTTTTAGAAACATCAAAGTGAATTGCGACAGCGGGAAATTTTATCTCACCAAAAAGTGCTCAATGAATTGCATGTAGAGGCTCAAAAAATGGTAGCTGCTAATCCGGATTCAGTAGCTGGTCGGCAAATTCTCAACGATTGTAAAAATGCTGAAGAAAAGTTTACAACATTGCTTGCAGTAACTAAAGTTCGTTATTTCAAAGCTTTCTTTCAAATTTGCAATCTATTAATTTTGATATGTAGAACAACGAATTTTAAATGCAGTTTGTCATACAGTAAAAAAAAAAGCCGAGCTTAACTCTTACAACCACTCATTCATCGTAAGCTATTTATGCTTATTTGAGCTATATGACAAACTGCATATCAGACATTTGATATTTGATATTTACATATTTACATTTTTTTTGATATTTTTATTTGATTTTATTTTTTATTTGATATTTTGATTTTTGATATTTGACATTTACCATCATTCATAAGCCTTATGAAATCATTGTTTATCAAAGGTTTTTAATTTAGGCTTGCGGTGATAATATCATAGAATTGATCACGGCTGTGACGGATTTCGACACTTTGGAAAAATCAGTCAATGAAAAGTTATCTTCGTTAAACGAAAAATTGTCAAGTATTTCATTGAGTGATGTCGACGCATTGAAAGACGTATATAATGAAGTGACAAAGTTAATGAAGAATGACTGCGTGAAGTTAGAATGCAAATGCAATTGGATTTTGTCAGTGCCAGATGTTGTTGGAGGCGACTTGTGCAAGGAAAGCGTTCGTACATTGCTATATTTCTTTTTATGAGAAAATTGTGTTGATTTTAAAATTATATGAGGCCATTTTAACTTTAGATTTCAATAATGCGATCTACCATTATTTTTCTAGGTTTCTGAAAGTCAGAGCACGTTAAGGAAATTAATTTCTCGAGTTGAAGACTTGATCAGTTGTGGGCAGAACGTAGAAGAGCTTCAAAGCACATACAATGAATTGAGTAGCAAACTTTCCACTATTTTGGAAGAGATTGAGGCTGACGCTAAAAGTGAATATTTCTAGAAAAATTCTCATTTTTCACTCCAGTTTTCAGCTTAAGTTACTGCTCAGTTATTGGCCTCAATAATATTTTCGTTAGCTTTTCGCTCCATAATTTTTCCTTAATTATTTTTTGTGAACTTTCGCAGTACTTTCTATTTGTTCATCAGATTTTTTTTTCAATGAATACTTCGAATTCTGAAAAAAAGTAAACATTTCAAGTAAGTAATAATATAAATAAAAACAAATATATGAATTCCCGAAGTAAGATAAAAATCATTTCATTTTTTTCACATGTTTTGTACAAAAAATTTCTTCAGTTTTGGAAAAAAACTCATTGAATCCAGTTGACTTATCTAATCAGCGTGTAGCTTGCCAACGACTTCAAGTGAAACATCAGGATTGCCGTGTTCAGTTAGAAACATTGAATGATGTTGTTTCAAAACTGGTAGAATCGGAGACTCTGGGCAGGTTATGATTTTCTAAAAACAAAAATTGCCTCTAATTATAAGATACATTTGGTAGTGCTTAGTTATCAAAATTATTGTAAATAAAGCGATTAAAATATTCTTAGATGGACCGTTCTTGAAACGATTGTTCATAAAATTCCGAAGGAAAAGGTGAGTTGATTGGTGCTATGGAAATCGAAAGCAGAATTTTGATTATATTTTATTGTTTCTGCAGGGCGAAAATGACAGGAAGTGTACAGCAGTCAGAGCAAGCTAATGAAGTACTTCGTGGAATAACCTGTGTGCAACAAAAGTATGCTTCTCTTGGCTCATTTTTACGATCAAAAGAGGAGAAGATCAATTTAGATAGCGAAAAATTATCTGAATGGGATTTACAACGAGATAGTTTGGCTCGGTGGATAAAAAATGAAACTAAACGATTGGTTTGTTCTTTTATTTTTCTTTGAAAAACTTTTCAAAGTTCACTACATAGTTTTTGCTAATAATGCTTAACTTCTGGTTACAGGCGACGGATCGTCGGATAGCACTTGATGATAAAGTTATTGAAGCAAATATAACGAAAGTAAAAGATTTGGAAAAGCTTCTTACGCAGAAAAAACAGGTGGAAATGGAAGAAATTCGAAATAAAGCACATTTGTTGATGGCTGAACCTTCTATTCTGGGCGTTTCTGAAATTGTGAGCTCTCAGAACATGCTCGAAATGGATTGGGAAAGATTAGTCCAAATTTGTTCAAAAATAAACGAGGAAAGTGGATGCGCAAAGCAACTACTGGAAGGTAACATTTTGTTTGTTAAAAAACAGTTCGAATTCTTTTTGTCACTTTTTATGATGACATGTTTAATTTTGCAGGTACAACAATGATGGATAAATGGTTAATGCAAAAAGAACGAATGATTTCAGCTATTGGAACTGTTAATATCGATCCAAAAGTTATCAATAATCAGATTCTACAAATAGAGGTATGTAGTGCAGCATGTTTTTCTTTCTTATCTCCTTGCACTACCGATAAATCTCAAATCTCTATTTTAATTTGCAGTTGCTGCAAAGTGAGTTGGACGACCAGAGTGAAGCTAGGAATAAAGTTAACAGTTTAGCTCATGATTTGGTAGCCGGAAGTGTAAGCCCTGAAAGCAATCAACAGATTATAAAAGAGGTGAATTAGTACTTTTTTCGTATTTATGAATACAAATTTTTAAATTTTTTTCATCTAGATAATCTCATTTTTTTCAGATAGATGCATTGAATCATCGCTGGATATTATTCCATGATGAACTTGACAAGAAGAAAGTTCTTCTATCAAAAATTAAAGATTTTGGATCGAAATTTTCAAACAAACAGCGAGATATAAAGTAAGCTTTTTGATTACAGCTATTGCCTTTTTCTAATTATTTATGACAGTCATTTGGTAAATTATTTTGCTCTGGCATTTCTAAACTAAAAATTTTTTCATTGATTGGAAAAGTTTTTAATAGTATTTCCGATTTATTTTATTACTTTTCAGTGTATTTGGGTTTACACACACACTGAAAAATTGTGCATTAATTAAAAAATTCATATACAGTTCATAATGAATATAGAATACTGAATCATTTTAGAGTAGAACCAAATGTCTATATAAAAGGAGCAATTTCAAGAAATATTTAACATAAACTTGCAATTTCATTTTTTTAGAATGCAGCTGATAAGTATCGCTGAAGCAATGGAACAGATTGGTCTTTCACCGTTAGCTTCCAAAAATGACGTTAATGAACATCTCAAAGCCCTAAATGCATTAAGTGAAAGATCGTGTGAAATAGATGTGCAGTTAGAGGAAGTGAAAATGCTTACCGCAGAGATTTGTGAAATTACTCAGGATCACAGCTTACAAACTAATATACACGAACAGTTGGATGCAATACTTCAAACTGCAGGAGAAGTGCATAAAAAGATTGGTAAAATATTTCTTAATATGAATGGTCTAATTATTTTTTGAAGTATTGGTATTCAAAAATATTGAGACTTATAGTGATAGACTAGATACAAATCAGAAATTAGTATGCACATTAAACGTTGGTTATATGTCATAAAGCATCACAAATTTAATGAAATCTATTTAAAGCAGATTCAATAAAAATAAATGTTATGATTACTATTATTTTTAATAGAAAGCATGAAAGGAACAGCAGCGAGTGTCAGGGATGAAGAAGGAAAGACAGTCGAGGAAGCTGAAAAAGCTATTAAATGGATGAAAGAAATGCATGAGCATCTTTCTGATATAGGCTCTTTATCAGCAATTTCCTCTGAACTTGATAATCAGCGAAGAATGGTTGAGGAAATCTATGGTAAAGTGTTAGATAAAGAAGGCGATATCACTTTAATGAGGTTTGTTGATTGTAGTAATTTAGTTCTGCTGTATGATTTCATTATATCGTACAATTTTCTTATAAGGGATTTTCGAATATATTAATTGTGGTATGAATCTGCCTATAATTATTGTAAGTATCGGAAGTAGGATTGATGGAATCTATAGGAACTTATTCATTTTGAAATATATACTATAAGTTTGACCTGATATTATAGTCATCGCGTTCTTGGAATTGACATCTCTCCAAAAATTTATTCAGTTTATATTTGTATTTTGAATTGTCTTGGTTGTTCAGAGCAAAATTAATGGATCAAATGAAGAAGACACCAAATAAAAAGCTTAAAGCTCTTCTTGATGATTTCTCAGCTGCGTGGAATCCACTATTGCAAGAAATTAAGATTAGGCATATGAATGCAGAACGAGCTTCTGATGTAGTTCATCAATTTGAAGCTTTATCAAAGTCCATTACCATTGAAATTAATGAAAATCAATTGGAGTTAAATCAAATTTTAGGAAATATGGTTTGTTCTTGTAGCATTTAAGGTTTTTAAAATTGTATGAAGCGTTAAAGAAGCCAAAAAATTTAACTGTTAATTCATTTTTACAATTAAGTAACTTCGATAGATAATGTGCTGTGAAATAGATTGGGCATTTAAAATGTTTCTCTGAAATTGGAAATTTTTTTAAAAACTGGAAGAATAAATTTTCATGAGAAAACATTTACAATATTGTCTTGTGATTGTTGTCATCAATTTGCATTAATAAATAATTACTTGTTTTAATTGTTCAGAAAAATAATGACGTTTGCGCCATAACTGCCATAGAAGAGAAAGTTAGAAGACAAGAAGTTGAAGTTGCCACATTAAAAGTTTTGTTACATAAACTTGAGGTAGTCACAGCTGGACCATCATTAAAAAAACTAGGAAGAGAAGTGGAAAACGTGACTGCAGATGTAAAAAGATTACTTAAGAATATCAGGAATCTCTCGCAAAAGATGCAAATATCGGTAATACTTTATTTATTCAATTGTTTTTTGTCAAACATAATATTGATATCGGTTTTTATTAATAACCATCATATTTAGAAGTTTTAAAATTTTGATTCAGAAGGATGCTCGGAGACAGTTCTCAAGAAGTAAAGGCGAAGCAAGGCAGCTGATAGATGCAACTAAGGAAACAGCAGAAAGTTTCAAAGAAGCTATTGCTACTGGTATTCCATCCATCACAAAGGAAGTCTTGTTGAAAAGTGAGCATCCTGAAATTACGTTTAGTAAATGTGTTCGATATTACTGAAATAACTTCATAAAAATATTCATTTTTATTAATTTCAGCAGTCAGTGATCTTGAATGTAGTTGGCAGAAAATAGAGAGAGAACTGCATGTAGCTTTTAAAGATGTTGAAGCAGTAGTTACTCGAGAAGAAGCTTTAGTGCTTCATGAAGACGTACGTAAAATTGATATGGAATATGCTGATGTTATAGCAAGCATTCAAAATTTGCTTGATGATATGGCAAAAAAAGATGGAATATTAGATAATATAATACAAAAAATTGGCTTATTGGGGACTAATATCCGAAAGAGTGATGAGGTAAGTATCTAATTTTGCAGTAATGTAGAATCTGATGATTCCACATTTACTTCTCTTTGTAAATTATTTTTGCCACTCTTTTATTAAATTCTAATGAAATGCTTACTGAAGTAAGCCAGATATATAAATACACATTAAGATATGCTCTGTGATAATTTCTACTACTTACTACTTACTGTACCATCACAAACTTACAATTTTCAGTTTAATTTTCAAGACCTTGATAGTGCGGTAAAATATTATTATAAAGATATTTCTAATGATTTGAACAATTGTAGGATTTATTAGTACCAATCGCACGGAACGTTGCTGATTTAGAAGAGCAAAATAAAAGTTGTGATGAATCACTAAAAATAATTGCTGAAAACGAGAAGGTTTATTCTTTAATGCTATATTAACTCTTTAAATTTTACAGTTTTTGCCTTCTCTTTTTGATTCCAGTCAAGTTTGTATTGTTAACCTGTATCATTACATAATACAAGAAATATAGCTAGTATTGAAAATTGTTGAAGATTTCGTAAAGAATCAAATTTTGCTAGGTTTTGGATGAATTAACTGCAGAATGGATGCAACTTTCTGACAGCCACGCCATGCAGGCAACGTCTGAAAATTTAATAATGCAGCAGATAAGTGAACTCAAAGAATTAATCAGTAAACAACGTGCAGATGTCACGCGTTGTAAGCGAATGATTAGCAATATGTTATTGAGTGTGCAAGAATTTATTTGGTTAGTTCATGATTTTTTTGATGATCTTAATTTCAAATCATGCATTATTTCAGTATTGAATGAGGTGCTGCTAATCTGTTTTTTATTTTAGTAATATCAATTTGTTTAACATTCTTCTGCAAAGAACGTGTTTCTGAACATGTTTAAGAAAAAAATTATGAAGTGTTCTCATGACCTAAAGTGAAAAATTGTTATTGCAAACTTATTGTCATTGGTAATGTACATATCTTGTTTTGAGATTTTACTTTTTATAATATTTTAAATGTTATTACTAATATGGATTGCTAATTTCAGCAAAGCTGAAGCACTCCAAGATGAATTAGAAGCGCTCACAAGAAATAATAATTTACAAGAACCTCTTCCAGTTGAAATAGATGATTTGCGACTGCAACTAGAGAAATTAGGAGCTTTTCATGAGAAGCTCCGAATTGCCAGTCAGAATTACACTATGATTGTAGAGAGTGGTGATAAGCTTATGAAAAGTGCTGATGAACGAGTATCAACAAAGACACTGGTGGGCTTTCACATTGCTAGTTTTATGTTTTGTTTATAATTGATAAATGAATGATTTGGTTATTCAATATTCAAATTCCTTGTTAAGTTTTATATCTCAAAACTTTATTGAATATATGTATAATCATTCATTCTTTGTTCGTTATCTAGCAAATAGTTATTTCATCCATCAGTGATTGAAATGAATTAAATACTTACACTGTTTCGCAACTTTTTCATCATTGTGCATAGGTAACTATCTTCACTTTTTGTGACAAATTGCAGGAAGATGAGAAACAAAAACTTATTGATACCTGGAATACTTTAAATAAATTGCTAGCAGATCGTGAACACCAAATTTGCACGTCTTTGCAAAAACTAGGTAGCTACACTGATACCCATAATGCACTTGTTGCATGGTTACAAGACACCGAAGAGTCGCTTCAGAATCAGCGGCCGCCATCTACTGAATATAAAGTTGTCAAAGAGCAAGCGCGAGCTAACGATATTTTGATAAAACATATTGAAGAGAAGCAACAGAAGTAAGTGCTGATTTTTAAAAATGTTTTTTTTTGTATGAAAGTGAATGGAAAATTTATAAAACATCAGGAACAATAAGCAGAGAGCGATATCTTTAACTTTATGCCACTACGAGTAGTAATAGAAAGTTGGATTATGAATTAGAAATTTTTACTTTTGTAGGTCCTTGTCACCAAATAGAGTCCTATTTTTTTATAAGCTATTTCTCACTTTTGATTTGTATGAGATTTTCACTTTCCTTTTTTTTTTGAATTATTGTGCAGAAGTATTCTTATATATTTTAGATCTTAATTTTTTTTCCAACTTTATTTTTAGTGTTGATGGCTTCAAACTGTTGATCGATAAAGTTGTTGAGTTGATAGCAGATGTTGTAAAACGTGAAACGCTACTAGAGCAAACAAAAAATATCACACAGAGGTGAAGATACACTTGTGTTTCACATTAAAACATTACTGTTCAAGACATAAATTTATTAGATCTCACAGTTTTTAATATAAATCATAGCTAATTTTAAAAGTTGTTCTGTTCACTTTGCTGCTTTCTAGACTTCTAACTTGCTTATTTAACAAGCACAGCTTTTAAGATGATTAAAGTTAAAGAAAAATGTTGAATGAATCTTCATAAAAGATGCGAAAAACATCTATGAAAATTACTTCATTTCAGACTTCCTCTATATCAAACAGGTTAACTTCATTTTATCTTGTAATATTTATTGTTTACATTTTATGTCTCAAAAGTGTTGATTTTTCAATACTCATTTCGCTCTGAGTACTTGTAAGGAAAGAAAATATAAAGTTATATTGCAATGAACGGCATAGTTATATTGCAGTAAACTACTATTTGGTTTGGTACTTTTTTTAAATTGTAGAAGGATAAGAAATTGATTAAGAAAGATTGCTAACTGTTTTTTTAGATACGGTACTCTTCTTGAAAGTGCTCGTGATCGGCGCAATCACTTACATGATGCGCTTGTTTTAACTCAAAATTGGGTTCAGTTATCGGAACCCTTCAAAATGTGGCTTGAAACAACCGAACGCGCTTTACAAGAACTCGGGCACATACCAACTGATGAGGAAAAATTTCAGCAGCAAGTAAACCTACATCAGGTTTTGCATTTATTCTGCAATTGCTTTATAATGAATAGTTATTCTCGAATATACACAGAAATGAATGTCTTACTGTGATTTCAATCGTAGCAGCAGGAGCAAGACTTTTAAATTCTTTCAGAATATTAGCGCTCTTGATATTTCTCTTTATTTATTAACCATGATATTTTTTCTTTGCTAAAAACGTCACGTCTGCTAATCTTACATAATTTTTTGAACCTTTGCACATAATTCCAGGATTTACAAACAAATATTGAAAGTAAGCGGGAGGATGTGGAAAGGATGACACAACTATGTCCTCTTCTAGCTAGTTTGACATCGGATGATGAAGCAGTTGAATTAAATACAACGTTCAAGAATTATATAGTTCGATACGAAATTTTAAGTTCTCAAGTCGCAGAATGCGGTATTTTGTTACAACAGGTTATTGACTTTCTAATATCTTATTTGTTTACCTTCAACTTCTTTTGCTAATACTTTGAAAGTGCTCCATAAAGTTAGGGTATGGTGATCCAAAAGTAGTACACACTTTACGAATTTTTTAAAAAACCTAAATGGTATAAGAATTTTATTCTTTAGCTCCAGAAAAAATTATTAAGGTTTAGCAAAATGGAAACAGCTTTAAGCAACTTAAATTAATATTTATTTGAAGTCCCATAATATCTATAATAGCGAAATAAACATTTGTGTTTTTTGTTCTGGCTTTCACTTTGAAATGCAAATTTGGTAATTTAAATTCTTTTCCAGATTGGTGAGGAATTAGCAAGTTTCTTAAAAAGTGCGACTGCACTTAATGATTGGTTAGATAAGATTGAGAACGATATGGGTAAATTAGATATACTCTCGATCTATCCGGAAGAAATAAATGAACAAACTGCTCTACTTGCCGATGTAGTGTGACATTTCTTCTGTTACAGTTTAGAGAATTTTAAAAGATTTGTGCAGCTGACACGAAAATGTAGATAGGGATTTGATGTTCTCAGCATTTTGTCACATTAATCGTATTTTTGTGAAAAAATATTTACTAAATGTAATTTGATAAAATGAGTTCGGTGAGCAATTAGTAAGTTTTCTAAGCCTCCATGATTACACTTGTAGCAGCTATCATCATTTCAAGTATCTTACTTTTAGTATGTAATAATTTTTAGCTGACTATGGAGATTACAAAACAGGAGCGTTTGGTTTCGACTGTTGTTGAAGATGGTCATGAATTGTGTAGACAAACAACTGGTGAAGAAGCAATTGCTTTGCAAAGTCGTATTGAGAATTTACGCACACGTTATTTAAACTTGACTGCTATAGCGGATAGTAAAATTGCTACTTTAAGTGAAGCATTGCTACTCTCAGAGAAATTCCATGATTCTTTTGATATCGTTCATCAATGGATGGATGCTGTGGAACAAGATTTGCAAACTATTGATCAGGTTATGAATCATCTTTTTTATTATAGGAACAAAAAATCTTTTTTCAAATAATGATATAGTGCAGAAATTTAGTCAGCAGTTCAGTTTCATCACCTTAAAATAGTAAGCTAAGTGCACTGTTGAAGTTGAAAAAAAGATCTTCCTTGTCTTTAAAAAAAATTTTTTTTGTATCGTAGTCATTGGTAAAGATGAAATTAAATCGTTCATCTGTAATACAGTTAAATTGTATTATTCAATTCTGTGGCAGTGTTACACTCTTTTAGCGTCTTTAAAAATATCTAAAAATAGCTAGATCTAGAATATAACGTTTCCGTATAATGTATTCTAGACCCCAATTGAAGCCCAAGTCACTGTAATAGCTCAAATGGAAGATGATTTGATGAAGTGGCGCCCTGATATCGAAAAAATTAATGATACGTCAAAACAGTTACAAAATCTTATTGGTGTTAAAGCTGATGAACTAGAAATACAAACTGATGACTTGACCCGTAGATTTAATCACTTAGCTGAACAGGTCAGTAAAATCTGTGTGTTTGCAAGCATGAATAACCATAATTTTCGGTCTAGAAAACTATTTCTCATACTCTGAAAAGAAAGTTTTTCTCTATTGAAATCTTTTTTTCCTAATTTGAATATTTTTTGATATTAATGATAATTTGGGCTATTTAGATCACTCGCAAAAGTGACAGACTAACATCAGTTGAAAAGCAAAGTCGACAGGTTTTAGATGAATTAGATTATCTCAATGAATGGTTTACTGATGCTCGTGATCGTTTAATGCAGGTCCTTATGAGCGTTATAATTTTTTTCGATTAAAAGAAAATGGATACCCTTCACCGTCACTATTTTAATCCATTTGAAGCTTTTTATCGCTCACTGTTCAATTGTTGTTTGTTTACCGAGCAAAAATTTAGTTCTAATTTCAGCTAAACATTTGAACTACTTCATTTTTTTAATTTATGATTTTTATTTATCACATATTTGAGATGTAAATGAAAATTTTTGCTAAACAGGCGGCAGCACCAGAAGTAGATCCTGATTATGTTAAAAAGCAGTTAAGAAATCAGAAGCAGATGAATGAAGATGTTGCGGTGATGAAAGCACGATTGAGAGATGCAGCTGCGGATGCACAAAAAGTTGCTCGGGCTTTGGGTGGTGACGCCAATGGACAGGATTTGTTGCTTGTTAATAAAATTGAAGTCAGTAAATTTATTTATTTTTCAAAATTGTTCCATGTTTTTTGAAGAACTCAAAAATAATAATGAATAATTGAAAAAGAACACTGTATGCTGAAGAAAGGAAAGCATTGTCTTTTAGCACTCAAAAGGAAATAAATGTATGTAAATATCATCAACTTAAACATATACATAGTGAAATTTTATTTTAGACTGGACGAGCACTTTCGGCTGACGTATCCTTAATGGGTGAAGAACGATTAGCTGAATTAGAGCAAGCATTAGCTTTATGTCTTGAAATTGATCAGTCATTTGGTGAGCTAGATTTTTGGTTGGAAAGCATAGAAAACGAAATTGATAATTGTCCACCGGTGATAACAGGACATCAGCGGGATCAATTAATGCAGCAACAATTCCACAATACTGTGAGATTTCGAAACATATATCAGTCATTAGCTATTTCATAAAATAGCAAATGATTCTCTTCAAATTATCTGAGTTCAATTCGTACTTTGGAAAGTATTTAGTGGAGATACCATTTAAAGTAGATCAGATACACTTCTCAGAAAGGCAAAAAGTGGAAGAAGTGAAAAGTCGTGTAGCATATTTTTCTATTGTGCTTTATTACTGAATATTTCATAAATGGTACTCTGGTCTGTTTTATGATGCATAAAGTAACTAGGGACACACTATTGACAAATCAAATAATTGTATTTATGAAAATAAAGCTACACAGCAATGGAAAAAATTGATGTGTAGCTTCATTTTCAAGGGCACTTTAAAATTTACATATTCATTTGCTAAAATCACAGTCTTTATATTTCTCGGTATAAATTCACTACTGTTTTTAGTTTTGCTATTATTTTAGGAATTGCAACATTCAATAATATCGCACAAGCCATTAATGGATCGTTTTCACAAAAATGTTAGCTCTTTGAGTGAACTGTGTGGCCGGGAAGATGAAATGCAGTTGCAGAAAGTAGCTGAAGACTTGGACGAACGATTTGCTGCAGCCCGAGATGCAGTTCGCCAGAGGGCTGAAGCATTAGAAACTGCTATTGGGCAAAGCAGTCAACTCACAGACCGATTGGATGTGATTCTGGCAAATCTAGATGGTACAGCAATTCAGGTATCGTCGCATTGGAAATGACGGTGATATATAGCTAGTAATGTGTTTAATTCTATTTTTCATCATATTGCTTTTAGATACGGAATGCAGAAGCAGTACCTGCAGATCTTGAACGAATCAAGTCACAAATTGGTGAAAATCGTTTGCTCATGGAACAGCTTAAACATAAAGAGAGTGTTCTAAAATCAGTGAAAGAAAGTGCTAAAGAGATTCTAGCACGTGCTAAACAAAATGATTCTGCAGCTTTAGGTTCCACATTCTGCATTCTACATTCTACATTTGTTCGCAATTGTGGTCGAGTATTTCATATAATACAAAAGTGCAAAAGAGATTATTCCAAAGAATGAAAGCGCAAATTTATTGTCTATGACCTCTCGTTTTCTTTTATTCTCTGCAAATTTTATCGATTTTCACGCTTATTTCTTTTTTATAGAAATCAGTTTGAAGATCAAAGAGTTAGATGCATTATGGAATGAAATAATGGAAAGCGTCATGATGAGAGGAAATATCTTGAAAGATACATTGGTAAAAGCAGAACAGTTTTGGTTAGAATTACAGTCATGTCAGAAGGCGATTGAAGAATTGCACTTACGTATTGACAAGATACAGCCAGTACTTGGTGAACCTAAAGCTATTGAAGAGCAACGAAATAATCTTATGGTTTATAATTTGTTATTATTTCACTAAATACTCATCAGATATCTATCTCCTCAAATAATTTGTTTGATTAAAAGATTTGTACAGAAATTGTCTGTAAGGTAAAAAGTTTTTATTGCTAATCGCACTTTTGTTTTATGCTATCGAAGGAGAGGTTCGCGAAGTTAAACCAGAAATGATAGATAAGCTAAGAAGAGCGGGACATGAACTTTGTAATATGATTGCTGATGAAGAAAAAACTCACGTAGAACAGCAAATCACTGCGGCTGAAGGCGGTTGGATTACTGTGACTAATATGTGCGCTCGAAAGTAAACTTAAAATTATTTACATTTCTACCAGACTAGTAGTAATATGATTTTTATGATTGGCAAAATATAAAAATTCATACTTCACTTTATACAAAGCACTAGAATTTGTCATTTCAGGAATGCTGATTTAATAGAAGCTATGGAAAAAGCGATGGATTTCCATGGATTATTAACTGAGTTAACTAATTGGATAGCAGAAACTGAAGCTCGAGTATCTCAGTTTGATCCTCTTTCAAGTGCATCGTCTACTAATATCAAAAATGAAGTGCGAATTGAAGTTTTTATATATTTAATTGTTTAGTGGCTGAACGAAGAGATTGCTTGAAACATAGTTTCTTTAACTTCAAATTTAATTGTAGCATCATTGCAGCTTGCTTCGTTGGGTGATTTGCGTTCATTATTGGATGAAAAAGCTTTGGAAAAAGAGCAGTTGAATCAGTTGTGTGCAAGTCTGTGCGTTGGTTCTACAGTACAGCAATCTGCTAGTATTAAAGCACCTATAAATGATCTGAATGTTCGATGGAATAAAGTTAGCTTGACTTTTCTATTTTTTGTGATGATGTGATATTTGTTAAAGTTCACTATGTACTGATAGATTTTTTAGAAACTGAAGTCAGTTATTTATTAACTATAGGTTAATCAAAATTTAAGACAAATGTAGTGATTTCAGCTTTTCATTTCTTAAAACATGAATGAATAGAATGCTGTATTTATTATCAAGATTTATGTGCAGTACATACATCTTTGCTCTTTTGTAGATTATTTGGAGCAGTTTTATAAATAATTTTTCCAGTGACATATTTTCATATCTAGAAAACAGGTCTCTGAAAAAATGAATTATTTTAAGATAAGTATATTTCAGTTGTACGCAACATTAAATGAACGCCAACAAAAAATGGAAAAGATTTTGTTAGAAAAAGGACAATTTTCTCAAGCATATGATCAATTAATGACTTGGATGGAGAAAACTCAGAAGATTTTGAATAAGGTTGGTTTTTTTGTTTTAATGCACTAGTATTTGAGCAAAAAAAAATTTCTTAAATATTCCTTTTCATCTTACTAAATTAAGACATCATCGATACTTCAAAAATCAAGGAACCCGTATTGAAAATAATTTTAATATTAGATTAATCCTCATTCAACAACTATCAATGAGGTACAAGTGGAAGTTTGCAAACATCGAGTTATACAAAACGATGTTTTGGCACACGAGGCGAGCGTTGATACTTTGAATAGTGCTGCGAAGCGAATTATTGCAGCTGATCCAAGTACAGAAAATTCAGCACGACCGATGATTGATAAATTAAATTCAAACTGGCATATATTGGTTGATAAGTTAGAAGATGTTTGGGTTCAGGTATAAATTTAATACTGAAAAATTTAATTTTTTTCATCTTGAATTGAAATTCATAGAAACTCAATTTTTCGTTTATAGCTTAATGATGCTCGAAAAGCTGCGGAAAGTTTGGGAAGTGAAGTGGATCGCTGGGCTATGTGGCTTCAAGATAAGGATGCTGATTTATCTCATGCAAAACCCACGGGGGGTTTACCAGAGACTGCCCAAACTCAACTCGATGACTTTTTAGTTTTAAAGGTTGTTACTTCTTTCTTTTTTTTTGCCTTCTATTTATTTTTGATTACAAATTGGACTGGAACTTCGCAAAAATTACAGGCCGAAATTGAGCAAAATCGAGTGGCACTAGAGAGCCATTTGGAAGCAGCAACAAAATATCTAGCCGATAATATTAGTGATCGAAATTCGTGGATTACTCAAAGAGCTGCACAACTGAACAAAAAATGGGTTCAAGTGAGAATCACTTCTAAGTGTCACTTTCTGAACTGGATAATATATACATTTCAAAAGATTTCAAAATGAATGCGTACTAAGCTGAAGTAATTTATATATCGGTGTATTTATTTTCTCATAGATAAATTAACGGCATATTCATTTACTGCAGGTACAAAATAAAGTTAGTGATCGAGAACAGAAGCTGAGAATTGCTTTATCAGAAGCTCAACAACTGCATTCTGCTATGGCTTCAATGAACGAATGGCTGAATTCTGCAGAAAACTATTTAGGATGTTTAGAACATGTATCTAGAATTCCAGAAAACGTAGAAAAGCAAATAGATAAGCACTCGGTATTTCAAACTGAGGTAAAAGTTTCGATTAGTGATTTAATTTTGATTTTAAGGTGTAACTCAGAAGAAAAATGTGTTTTATTTAATAAAAATAAAAGTTAATATTCACTTCATAAAGAAACAACGATCTACACTTTGTATATTTTTGTGTTTATTTTTGCATTCATTCAGAACAACTTTTTTTCAGGTTTTGCATTACCGAGAATTAATGAGCGAATTAAACAGCAAAGGAACAAAATTGCAATACTATTGTGAGAAAAAAGATGCGATACCAATCAAAAACTTACTTGTTTCGGCGAAACATCGTTTTGATAAAGTCGCCTCGAGATGTATGGATCGAAGAAAACAACTCGATCTTGCATTACAAGAAGCACAACTTTATTTTGGATCACATTCTGAGCTAATTGATTGGATTGATAATGGTAATGCTAAATGGAATGGAAGCGAGTATAAACAGGTAATCATATTAACATCACACATTAATGACACAGAATAATACAAATCACTTGATGAAACTGCATTAGCTTTTATTAAATGATTGTGGCGAAACTTATCATCATAAAAAAGTGTTTGGGTGATTTCAGCTTTTATTTTGCATGAGATATGCATCTAACAAAAATGTAATTTAAATAGTTCAGTTTTCTAGTGTGCATTGGCAATATAGGGATCACTAAAACTAAATGTTATTTAAATGAGACATCCTAACAACTCTATCAGTTGAATCATATGATTAATGAGATGCAGTGGATTGCTGATTATCAAAAAAGATTTAAATTCATTTCCATAATTTCAGGCTACTTCTGGTAGTCAGCTTAGACTTGATTTGGAACAGCATCGTGAATATCAGAATGAATTAAATGAAAGGCAAACAATGTATGAAGCAACATTCAAGAGGGGCAAATCTATTGCGGAGCATGCACCACGTGATGAACAAAAAGGCATTAATCTAATGAATGAAATATTAAAAGAAAAGTGGACACAGCTGGTTAACACCACATTATATAGGTATTTTTGAAATTAAATAGTTAATTTTAGGTAATATATTTCAAACGGTCAATTATGTAATGCAACTAATATGAGTAAATTACTTAGCTAAAATGTCATGGCTTTGTTTTAACTTTATATTTTATTTTTTAAAAAATTTTATGTCTTCCTCACAAAAAATGTTGTATTGAAAAAAATTACATGTACTGTATTAAACAGATCACATTAATAATGATATTCATTGTTTTTATTGTAGGCATCGATCAATTGAAGATGCATTGTTGGCATGCGGACAATTTGATGAGGCGTTATTGTCATTGCGAGAATGGCTGGAAAAATCATTACCGGATCTACAAAATTTAGAATCTACTTCAGTTTTTGGGGATTTGGAGACTGTTAATAAATTATACGATGATCATAAAGAGTTGAAAAAACAGATAGATGCTCATCAAGAGACCATGAAATCAATAAAAGAACGTGCCCAGCAGGTTGTTTACTTTTTTATGTATTATATTTTATTACAATATGAACATTTCAACAGACTTTGTAGTTTAAATTATTGAATAATACATCGTTTTGGCATTGTCATCTTGAAATTTCAATTGTTTCAGATATTGGATAAAGAAATGGATGGTTCATTGGACAGTTTGAGGAAGAAAGTGGAACAGTTAAATGCAGACTGGTTGCTACTAGAAAAACTTGCAGCAGAAAGAGAAGAACGATTGAAAGTTTCTTTCGACATTGCTAAAAACTTTGATGACTCAATTCACGAATTTTTGGATTGGTTACCAAAGATCGAGGCGAGACTGCGGACGAAAGTATATTTTTATCTCAGTTATACCAATCTAGTAATGTTGGAATATGTTTTTGAATTTAACTTCTAATACAATATCATTATTGTTTGAAATAAGATAAAATTACTTTTGCTGTAAAGACTATACTTTCTTCATCCTTCGTAAGATCAATAAACTTTTTCTTTTTGACCATTTTTGGTCTCCTAAGGCGAGAAAAATATAGTGGGGGGTCATAATATGAGATCTGGTCCAGTTATGTGTTTCGAGAAGATAATCTACGGTGACTACATATTTCTTTGATATGCTTATTGTGAAGGGGCTTCATTCAGTATTCCGATTTCTCACTAGTTGTAGTTCCATGGTATCTTTTTGTTGATGTCATATTTCTTTCCGTCTGTCCATTTTTTAAATATCGACTTGTCTTATTCTATTAGAAGTTATTATTCACTATAGGATTTGTATAGTTTTTAAAGATCATTGAAAAAAAAAAAGAGAACGAAATGTTTTCAGAGTCAAACTGTTGAAGGGGAAGTTGAAATCCTTGAACAAATGGATGAAATAGCGCAGTTGCATAAAGAAATGGATGATATGCGGCCTACGTTGGAATCTATTAAAAAAGCTGGGCAGGAAATAGAGCTAAAATGTCATCCACTCGCAGAACAACCGATGAAGTATTGGTTAAAAGTTTTGCAAAATCGATGGGAAGAAGTGACTAATGCAGTTGACAGTAAACGAGATGATTTTGAGAAAGTAAACATTAAATTCATTGCATGAAATAAGTCTATCTTTGTAGTATAATTACCTGGTAATTCAACTTCTAGAGAGTCAGATTTGGATTAATGATTTTTAGAAATAGGTTGTATTTTTCCAAAATTCGAAAGGATTTTTCTCCAAATTTTTTGATCAATTTCAGCAGCTTAATGAACACCGAGCGAAAGAAAAGATGATTGCGGATTTATTATCGTATATTGCAGAAAAAAGCACGGAATTAAAAGATTTGAATAAGACATCGCTTCCGGAAGATTTGGAAATATTGCATAGGTATATTATGCACGATTTCTGCGCCACAAATTTGTAAATGGTCTTAATCATAATGATTTACTTTTCAAATTCATCAAACTAAGCATTGCAGTGTAGTAATTTTAGCCTAATAAGTGAACATGAGCAGTTCGAAACAAATTTACGCGAAAAACAGAGACTAGTTGATGAAGCAACAAAAAGTCGACGAAAATTTCCCTTAGAAGAACAAATGAAAAAATCTTCCGGCAAAGCGCTTCTGAAGTACTTACGTTTTATCACTTCTTGATAAATTCTTGGTTTCATTTTATCTATCATTAAGTAATCAAATATAGGCATGAACATCGCATACGGCATCCAAAATCAGATCAGTTATCTGATAAGTGGAAAAAGTTGTGGATTGATTCTATGGACTACAGTCGTCGCTTGCGTGAAATGAAAGATTATTTGGAAGAGGTTTAATTTTCAATTTATCCTGTCTATTACTTGCTATACGTGCATATTATCATTACTATCGTTCAACATATTCTTCATGTAGTATATTTCAAAAATGTTTTTATAATACCTAAACAGTTACCTTAACAAATCAAGTTTTTGTATTCAGAAGATACAATGGAAAAATTCATTAAATACATTATGTTTGAGATTTTGTTAAAAGTTGCTTGTATTGGTATGTAAACTGATGATTGAAATAGATTGAATTCCCAATTTGAATTAATTTTTGTTGAATTCCCAATTTGAAGTAATTTTTGTTTCTCCTCTTTAAATTTGCTTTATGCTACTCAGAATATTAGCGACTCAGCTAAAACTGGTAAGAAAATGTTTCAGTTTCATCTTCAGGAACATTTTTTGTTGCTTATTCATTAATAAGTAAAAATTTAATATAGCGATATCGAATTTTCGAAAATTTGAGGTAAAAAGATTGGAATCATTTTCGTTCGAGAAATGGCGTGGAAGATATTTGGAATGGACGGATTCTGGAAAATCCAGAATTTCGGATTTATTCAGACGAATTGACAAAAGCGGGACTGGACGAGTCCCTCGATCCTTGTTCATTGACGGCATTATAACTTCAAGTTAGCCACTTTTTATCATTTTTGATTCTTAATGCATTTCTTAACAATTAATTAATTCTCAATAAAAACTTGAAAAAAGATTCGAAAATTTATTTAATTCCAGAATTTCCAACTACTCGGTTGGAAATGGAAAAAGTTGCGGATGAATTCGATAAAGGAGACGGGATGATTGATTCAAAAGAATTTATGGCAAAACTTCGCTCCGAATTTTCTAAAGTAATATGTGATTTATTATTGAGGAACTAACCAGCAGTTATTTTTTTTCTTATGCCAGATTCTTGGTTTCCACTTACTTGGTATACATGAGAGAAAAAAGCTTGAATTTCATGAAATCTTGCCTTAGCGTTTCTTATACACTTTATTATTATTTCGTATTTTTAAATTATCTCATTTAGAAATTGCCAATGAAACAAAAAACGGACAATGAAAAGATTACTGAAGAAGTTATTAGGCAAACAGAAAGGTGCAGCTGCACTAATCGTTATCAAATTCAGCAAGTAGGGGAAGGGCATTATCGTGTAAGTTTATTATTTCTTTTAAAACTGGATAGATTATGCATTAGGAAGAATATTGCTGCATTTAGTTTGGTATAGAAAAAATAAAACATTCGAGTATCTTGCATTCTAAAACAGAAGAGTAATTGGGTGAAAAGTAGTTTGGAGAAAGTAGCAGTCATCCAATTTTGGCTTTTTTGATGCTTATGTTTAAAACATCAAGAACCTTGTAATTGGATTTACAAAAAAACATTTGCATGTATACGATTTATCAAACAGATTATTAAATAGCATATCTAAATACCATGTTTATGCTACCAAGTTCTACAAAGCATTGGAAAAAGCTTGTGCTTTGAAACACCAAAGAAAATTATTCTTGATGAAAAGAAATTAGAAAGCTGATGAAAGTGCTTTGGATCCATGTATTCCGACTAATTTGTTAAACAAGTTGGAGATTGCAAGTTTAGAATTGTCCAATCGCGAATTTTTTTTGGAACAAGAAGGGATTTCATAAGAAATAAAAGATCACATATACCAATTGTACGATGTTATATATGAACTGAATGGTTTTTAGTTTGGTGAAACGCAAATTAAGCGTATGGTTCGTATATTACGATCGACAGTTATGGTCCGCGTAGGTGGTGGTTGGGTTGCTTTGGAGGAATTCCTGCATAAGCATGATCCTTGCCGAGGTTGGACCAGTTGATGTATTTGTATCTTTGAAAGCACAGTCTCTTCGTCTCAGTTTCAAAAAAATTTTAAATATTTTAAACATTGTATTTTGCATATAATTTTAGCCAAAGGTCGTACAAATCTTGATCTACAGCGGAATTTTTATGATGATGTCAGGCCCAAAAATGCATACGATACGATGGAGACATTCACAAAGTCATCAAGGTCAACACCAAGTAGAGATTCACCTCTTCGTGGCTTTCAGGAACCTTTACTACAGTCTCGTTTTCAAGCAACTCCTGGACCGATCACAAAAGTATATCATAATAACTCTATTACTTCTCACTTTTTCAGCAAATGTTCTCACTGAACTGGTCTTCTAGAATGTGGGACTTTTAGTTTAGAATTCCTATCTGTAAGTTTTGGTATTATGAATGAGATTGTTCATGAATTATATAAACAATTATAATTTCTGTATCGTTTAAGAACATGCGTGAAGAATTGCTTCCTGTTTGGATCGCATGAAATTCAATAAATTTATGAAATGTGTTTCAGATCAGAGAAAAAACTGAACGTAGTATGCCAATGCATGTCGCTGGACGTTTTACTCCTAATTCACGCAGCACAGCACTTGAGATATCTAAACCTAGTCGAAGGCTAAGTGATATGAATGGACAAGGTTAATGCTGAACCTATTAGCTTTACTTGTAAGAAGGATCATTTTTTCTTGTTTTATGGCAGTAGTCAACTATATCATTAAGACAGCTGTACTTCCAGTTATGCTTATGTATTTGTTATTTGTGCTGTCTGCAAAATGAATTCAAGAATATAGAAAAATCGTGAGAATTTCTCAGATTCAAAAGCTAGACGACCGAGCGCTTCTGGAAGTGTCTCACGTTCAGGATCCCATGGTGATATGTTGGATTTATCGCGACCGGTAAGCCGAAGTTCAGATGTTTCGTTAGATGACCGACCTACCCGTATACCTTCCTTGCGTGGTCGAAAAGGTAGTAATTATAGAGCTGCACGATCAAGCCCCCAACCTCGTACATAGAAAATTAATTGACTTGTCGTTAGTTTGGCCGTCGTTATAAAAAAGCCTTAAAAAACTAAGTTAAAATTTCCTCTTTCATCATTGTTCCTCCGGCTTAAAAGATTAAACCATTGCATAAGTTTCGTACCTGTTTCCATTTTAATTGTCTTATTGTATCTTCTGGTCTATCACTATTCATTTACTCTATTCTGCATATCTGTTTTTAATTTCTTTCGGGTATCTGTTTAGCACCTACTGTGCACCTTACGCACCCACATGCTCATTGGTTTTGTTTGTTAATGGTTACTTTATTCGTTGTTGTAACGTACATATCGAAAGTATAATCCAATCCTACATAGAAATTACTATTCTACTGCATCGTGGTTTGGAGGATCTATTTTCCAGCCTCAATATGCATGCATACTAGGATAGCTTATTCCAAGAGTGATTTACTCTATTTGTTGAGATTGTTCCACTTTCTAAAATTCAGGCAATTTCATTGCTACAGTTGTTTTTTGTGAATAAAGGATCTTTGTTTTCAGTTGATGCATTGCCGGAATTTTTTATTTACTGTTAAAAATCTATTTGTATTGTGTCGTTTTCTGTTGCTAATGGAATTGTAATCATTCGTTTATTAACCTCTCTGCTCTTATTATCCAGTTAATTTTTAATAAAAATTCCCTATATTTGGCTTTCTCACCACGTGATCGAGGAGAAGTTTATCATTTCACGAGAATATGTGCGAAGTTACTGATGTCTAATTGTTCAATATATACGTTCTGGTGTCATTTGTATTGTGTGGGAGATAAGGATAATTGCGTCGTCAATCAGCAGCTCAATTCTTAGTTACTGTGGATTCTATAGTTTTATAACTAAGAGTTATGTAAAGTACAATATTTAGATTGTTAAGGTGCGGAAGTTGTTGACTTGTGATACTTTTGCTCATAATTTTTATCGCTTCCAAATATTCGCATCAACATATCTTTTTTGAATTACGGTAATTATAATAAGACGTTCAGCTTTACAAAAAAGAATATTGATCTCTAAGGTCGTCTGCATAAATCCATAATACTTTGTTATCTACATCTTGTTGGCAAGTGATAGGCAACTTACACTTTTTACGTTGCCATCTGAAACACTACTTTTAACTTTCAGTCAGTGGATGCATAAAAAGTTAAGAAATAGGAATTAATGACAATTTTGAAGAAATTCCACGTGCTGATTGTATCACATACGAACAGTAATTCTTTTATGCTACTGTGAATAAATATTGTTCAGTTCACGCTCTTAGTAATAAGGGTTAGTGATAAAATGTTCGTTTTATTTTTGGGCAGTTAGATGTGGAACTCTCCAGCATTATGCCAGCGTTATTATTTGCTACATGCAGTGATTTCAAAAGTAAACTAAAACTGAATTACCGACGTATGCAAGTAGCAACTTTCACTTGTAAGACAGTGTCGATCGTTGTACTGTGATTACTTTTGTAAATGTACTTGGCAACTTCATAAAATTTTTCCTTTAGAATCGGCACGATTTCGCCAAATAAATTCAATTTTGCATAGGTTTGTGGAAACATTCTTTTAGACCATCTATAAGATGCGTGCAGCAAGAAGATCTCTGATTGATTGAGCTGAAAATTTGCGTTATAGCGAATCATTTATATCAAGTTAGAATATATAAAAACATTTTTAATCATATGTAATGGAATTCATTCTGATAGTAAGTTTGCATAATAAAAAAAACCACTTTAAAACCGGAAGTATTGATAAAATTTGTATGGAACCAACAGGTAACTGGTTATTATAAAGTGCTTGTGAGGCTGATTTGCAATTTCAGAAGAAACTAAAGCAAGGTATTATTATGCAGTTGGGAGTTTATAGTCACAAATTTGGGTATTGTATTTTGTGTTGAATGACATAATATGATTAAAAGAAATAATTCCTCCATATTTTTTAAGTTTAATGATGATGATGTGATGTGAAGTTGATAAACCATACACTGACATCGACATAGCCAGGTTGGTTTTCTCTGACGGCATGAGTAGATATGACCGAAACTGTTTTTGGACGTACTATTTGTTTATGAGGTCCGTCTACTTCAGCTTGACCGAATTTGATACCATTCAGCCAGTTGAAGTTCACATCTCGTAATTCAAAGTTATCTGAAGTTGCTAGCTTTTATCTACTTGTTCAAAAAACTCAAACTGAAAGCGCAAATAATGATGTAATACATTATTAGTCATAAAAAGTACCAATCTAAAATCATGAATAGCAACTTTTCAGTAAGAACCTCACTAACTTTGCGGTCGAGGTGATGAATAATACATTCTTCTGTGCAGAATTGCAAAACTACCACACTTGGGGCACATGGCCGATTTTTTTTTAATGTACTCAATAAGCGGTATTCTCAAATGTGCATTCTTTCAATTCTTATATTTCAGAAAAATTCTTGATAGCTTTCAAAGATTACATAAATGTTTGTTTCGACTAAATTAATTAATTACAGCTTAATTTTATTTATTCTACAAAAAGCCAATATTTGTGGCAAAATATTGCGAGATAAGAGAGCACTTTAAGCAATTTAATTCTTTCTAAATTTTTAATCATTTAATACAAGCAAAATAACGTTAATTGACGAACTTGCTTGAAGTAAGAATATATTCATCCAAATCAACAAAAGCAACAAAATCGGCACCTTGGGTGCGCAACAAGCAATCATTATTTGCAAGACTGTGTGCCAGTCTGAAATGTCTTCTATCTTTAATTTTGTGATACGGTGAAATTAATTATTTTTGAAATGAAATGCATTAATATCAAACAGCAATCTTCAACACACTTTTATACTAATACAACAATATTCTATAAGCCAAAATTGTCAGTTTAAATAAATTTTTGGTACTGTAATAAGCATTTTGTAAATAAATAAATACTATAAATAAGCATTATCCCAGTGCATCTGTAAATTAAATATACTTCCGTAAAAAGTTGTTCCACATTATTTAATAACTTTCAGTTTTCAATCGGCAA